GTCTATCCCACATAGTGAATTGGGAAAAGCCCTAGAGGAATAAGATTCTCTGCTGTTCTTACTGCACCTGTGGAATTACTTGAGTTCACTGGCTGATTACACCCAGAGGCCTTGCCAGTTGCTGCCAGCTGGCTGCACAGATTCTGCCAAGACTGACAGTGTTAAATGGCCATTTCAGACCACCACTGTCCCTCCAGGAGATCTTAAGCACACATCGTGGGGAGACACTTGGATTCTCCCTTAATTATGATGACTGCTTTTGGGACAATGCTGTTTATGCTGTCCTTCTGGCCGGCAGGTGAACTTGGATTCATGCACACGGGAAAAAACTAGCCAGAATATGCTGGAGCCAACGCTGTCCTGCTTTGATGAGGCTCAGAGAAAAATATTCACCCTCATGGAGAAGGATTCTTACCGCCGCTTCCTCAAGTCCCACTTCTACCTGGATTTGGTGAGCCCGCCTGCTGCTGGCTGTGGGCCTGAAAACTGCAGAAGAACCCGTGCTCACAACTTAGACTGCAACTCTAACATCATCTCCCAGTGTGCCTGAACCTGCAGCGAGCCAGGAGCAGGCAGGGCTCTTGCAGGAGTGTATGGCAGCAAAAGCATTCATTGGCATGAAGCAACAGAGCTGTCTGCAGTAGCTAATATCCCAGTTGTGTCCCATGTCATGCAACAGTCAGCATTTGTAACCCAAGCCAGGCTCAGTTTGTGTAGCAAACCCTCCTGTGACTCCATCTGTGTAGGAGCCCTGGAGTCTGTTGGACATGAAAGCTGGGTGAAATCACTGCGTGTCTGCTGTGTTTTTGATGTGCCTCGTGAGCCCGGGTGGGCCGGTGCTGTCGGGAAGAAGTGCAAAACTCAGACCTAGCACTAACTGCAAAGGGTCCAGACGTGCAGTGTGGCCCTGAGACACCTAGAGAGAAATAGGGGAAAGAGGAAGCCAAGGGAAGTGTTGGGCATCTCCCCCTTTATCATCAGCACAAGCTTAGAGACAAAGGACTTTCTCTGGACCCTAGCTGCTCATATAGCTCCCAAATATCCAGGCTTTCAGTAATGTTTGCTCAGAACTTGAGCTGTGTTGTGTTATACTAGTCAGTCTTAGGAACAGCTCCTGCCCTGTGTAAAAAGGACACCAAAAATTCCTAGGCAAGCAGAGAGCCTCCCTCTGTCATTACAGCCAAAACTGTGTGAAAGCCCTGGTCCATGGCAGCTTTGCCCACTGTTGAAACTAATTTATGCAGGTCGGGGATCTTTCTTGGGCTGTTTGGTTGGGATGGGATCACTACCACAGCAGCTAAGAAGAGGCCATGCTTGGGAATCCCCATACTGAGTATTTTTATGTGAGTCTGTACAGCGTTACTCATTTTTTTTTCCCAACAGGTACTAAGAGAAATGTGTCAGTCTCCTCACTACTCCTCTGCCAGAGGGCAATTTATTTTTTAATCACTGTGGTTAGATGGGGCTTTTACTCAGGGGCTTTGGGGCCTGACTCTGACCCGCGCTTGGAGATGGAAGGAGTAAGTTCCGAGCTCGCCGTGCGGCCTGGGGGTACCAGGCACTGCCAGGGAGCAACAGGCGCCTGCTCTGAGCAGAGCGGGGCAGCAGGTCCTGCTCTCCCCAGGGCTTCACCTTTCCTTGGGCTTGGATAGAGCTGCTCTGACAACCGAGTGTTCCTCACTCTGTGTCCCAGCCTGGACAACGCTTGTCCCACCGGGGTTTGTTGTGGCAGGAGAAGGTTGTGGCTTTCAAGGTAGGAACTTCCAGGCCCACAGAAAAACATCTCCTTTAGTCCTCGCTTCATTTTGTGTTTATTAGCTCATACTGAAGCCTACCAGCTTGCATGTTGAGCTAGGCAATGGAGAGGCTTGCTAAGGATCGCGGTCGGCTCCGACCTTGCCAAGCACGTGGCTGTGTTTTATTTTTCCCTGGTACTGGGAACTCCTGGTAACTCTTGAAAAAAAATGTATTGATATTTAAATAAGGACAAATACATTCTAAATAAAAGATATTTACATTAGTCCCTTCTAAAATGTTCTGTGAACCAAAGACTGTGCACGGATATAACTCTCTGACTCAGGTTACTTTAAAAAGTCATGTTATAAATGGTGTCACACCACAATCGTTTAAGGTCATGGAAGGACGGAAGAGCCATTATTTCTATCAGCAACCCATCCCTGTTGGTTAGTCCTGATCTCTGTTTTGGTTATGTTGGGTGGAGGGCTCTGGGCTGCAGCCCCAGCCCTGGAGCGGTGCCGGGAGCCCCATTCCCAGGATGTTCAGGGTTCCAGGTGGGAGCACCTTGTAGCTCAGCCAGGTGTTGCTCCCGGCTGGAGGCACCGCGGCTGCACCGGGGATGGCTCTGCCTCAGCCCCCTGCGGCAGTAACGGCATGAGTAACCGTGCCACCTTGCTGCAAAGAGAAAATAAATGAACAGTCCATCCCCGTAGGAGTAGGAATATGTTTATTATATGAATTACTGAGTGCTACAGGAATATGAAATCACAACACAACCCCTTCCTCAGTGCACCCCTATGTCCCTTGTCTTCACCATGCAGTGGAGATCTCCCCGGTGGACATCAGATGGGGGAACTTCAGACTGAAAGCTAACGGCCCAGGTGGGTAGGGCGACGCATCCCAGGGTGGCCGTGGCCCGCTCCTTGGCCACAGCATTCAGCATCCTCCAGCCAGGATGCTTCAGCGTGTGGCCAAGGCGCACGCAGGTCTGGGTGAGTGCTTGGCCTTGTTCTGAGAGGGGAGATGGGAGTTGCCGAATTAGCAGAAACCAGGCAGTGAGTGACACCCGCGTGGCGAGGGGAGCAGCAAGCGGGGGCCGCGCTGCAGCGTGGGGTTGCCTTGCCCCACGGCAGCGGGGCAGAGCCCCACAGTTGGCACCTGCTCACCCTGTGGCTCTGCAGAGCTGGGCATGGGTAAGGCTACAGCAGTGGTTTCCAGGGGCCTTTTGGGAGGTGCGCGTTCATGTTCATCCATGGAAGGCCCAGGGCATGGGCCAAATCCTCACAGGTTCCTCTCTGCAGTGGAGCTGAAGCTCTGTCCCCTGCTCTGCGCTTGGACCAGCGACTCTGCGGACATCGAGGTGCTGACAGTAGGAGTAGGTATGTGTGTGTGTGCGCTTATGTACCTCTATATGGTATAGATATGTATCAGTATGCGTATGGTGCTCATACACGTGCCTAACTTGGTAAGAGCAAGAGTGAAAAAATACCTGACTGCCTTGAATACGATCATTGGTAGTGACTCGACCTGTGGTGCCCTCGGAGAGCCTCGCGGCAGAGGGGGCGCCGGGCGCCCATGCTGCCAAACGCCACCTGGGCCGCGGCCTGGCCCGGGGTGGCTCCCAGCCGCGCAGGGCTGCTCCGACGCGGCCGAGATCCCGGGAGCCCCCGCTCCTCCTGTCCAGCCCGCGCCTCGGCAGAGGCTCTCCCACCTCTTCCCTTCTCTCTCTTCAACACCTACAAAGCCAGACACTTTCTGTCCGCCCCGTGCAGCGCCCCTGCATCTCTTGATACCTCACACAGCAGTTCGCCTTTCTGCAGGGGACGCTGGCCCGGTACTGGCTCTCTACAGGACTGGCACTGGCATTAATGGTGACACATATGAGAGTAACTGAAGTGTATACTGCACTGCTAAGTAAAAGGGACATAGATGAGTCGTCTGCAAGAAAGCTTGTTTGGTTTTGCACTTCTGCGAGCAGGAGGAGCACGAACATGCTGAACCCAGGCTTTGGTGGCAGGGCTGTGTGGAGATGCTGGGACTGCGGCAGGGGCCGTGGGTGGGCGGCCTTGGGGCACGGGGGTACCCGGCATTACACCCGCTCTCAGCCCTGCTCGTGCCTCTTGCTCATCAAGCAGCAGCCCCTGGGCCGTCTGAAGGCCGGAGCGGCGCGTTCTCACCAGTGCCAGACCCTGCACTCGCCCCCGGAGATGCTCAGCGAGCACCGGCGCAGCCGCCGGCTTTCGCAGGCCGTTCGCTGGGGGAATGAACCCCTTCGCGGCGGGCGCTGGGATCACCTTCATCTTCCCCCCCACTCCCAGCCCTGCCTGGACAGCGCAGCCCACTTCCTGCAGCCAGGGATGTATTTTTATTCATCACCATGGCGACAAAGTGTAAATATTTGGGGCTGCTGGGGGTTTTGATCAGATTTTTTAAGCCTCTAAGAGGTTGGCAAACCCGCTGTTTATGCTGCTGCCTCTTGTGCGGAGTCTCATGATTTGCAGCTTGAGTATGGCAGCCTGCGGGTGGCTTGCTGGCCTCAGAGGCCTCCTGCAAGCCCGGGCGCTTATATCTTGGATATATGTTGGACCCTTGGCCACACAGGGGCACCCGCATGGCCCCAGCAGCTCATCCCAGCAACTCTGCGCTCAGACCGCAGGGATTCACTGCGCTCCCATCGGAGCGCTCACCAGCTGGGACTGCAAGGAGACCCCAGCTCCCTCTTCTGCCCCGCAGGTGGAGGTGGCACCTTCAGGGGGCAAAGCAGGCTGGATCTGAGCCTTTGCCAAGGACTGGTGTTCCTAAGAAATGCCCTTAGCGAGCTCAAGTCCTAGGCAGACTGGAGGAGCCTGCAGAGCAGAGCAGCTCCCCCAACCCAGCAGAGCTTGCCTTCTCTTCCAGCAGATGGGGGGGGATTGTTATTCATCTTTCGACTCTTTTTTTTCCTTTTTCTGTTTGGAATTGGACCTGGACACTTCTAATTAGCAGCCTTCCCACCCTCTTTCCCCCAGCATGGATTTGCTCCCCCGTCTCATCAATGGCCCTGCTTGGGTTTGTGCATGGGCATCCCAGAAAGCTGCTGGGAGCCAAACCGGCAGCACAGGCAAACGTGGGAGAAACAGGGTGCAGAGGCGGCAGCAGCTGCATCTACATGGGCCCAGCGTGCTGGGGTGAAGCGGCTGGAGGGGCAGGCAGGGGTGTTGCCTGGGGGAAATCTCACCCCCAGGACCCCCCAGCACCGCTCAGATGGGTCTGAGCCGCTGCAGGCTGCCCAGCTGCTTCCAGAGCCCCCACCTAAAGTCAGGGGAGGTTCACCAGGTGGTTCGGCTAATTCTGCTAATTCATCTCCTTTGGTGGGAGAGGACAGAGGCTATAAGGGAGGGATCCCTGCGGGCCCAAAGCCCTGGGAGGGGTGTTCAGCAGTGCTCCTGGGTGCTCCTTTAGGGTGGCACAGGGAAAGCAAAGCAGTGACAAGAAGGGGCAGATGATGGGTCAGAGGGAAGTGGTGGGATGGCTCTTTGGGGAGGCCTCATGCAGCCTAGCCCTGTTGCTACTTGACCAGCTCCTGATAAAACTCCGAGCGCACAAATCTGGGCAGGGAGTCTTTTTCCATGAGGGCGAAGATCCTCTTCTGGGCCATGTCAAAGCTGCTGGCTGATGGCTCCACCAGGTTCTTCATGGTCACGGCTTTGGTGAAGTGGTCGATGTTCACCTGTGACCGGAGTGCATGAGCGATGGTTACTTTGCCCGTCTTGCGTCAGGGAGATGGGCTCTCCCTGGCCCTTTCTCCCACACACAACCAGGTTGAGATTACGGGGGGAGGGCAGTGACCCAGCCTGGCTTATGTGGGGGGACAACTCCACAATGTCAGCCGGGCACATTGGGGAACCCAGCCCGGGGGCACTGACCTCCTTGGGCGCCTCAGTCTGGATGAACTCCTCGTAGATCTTCTTGGCTTTCTCCGCCATCTTCACAGGAGACTTGGTTTTCTTGTAGTCCTCGCAGGCCACCCAGAACTCGATGTTCTCCTCGCTGAACTCAGAGCGCAGGAAGCTGCTGAAGCTGGCGAGCCCGTCTGTGGGGAGCGTGGCCGTGGGCAGGGAGCACCGGGGCCCCGCAGTGTCCCCAGGGGTGGCATGGAAGGGCTTTCCCTGGGCCAGCTCACCCCCCTGCCAGCACCCGTGGCCCCAACACCCCTGGGGTCCAGCTGTCCCTGAAACTACTCTCGGAAGGTGGAGAAATGCCCTGCAGGAGGAGGCACAGGAGCGCCCAGGCAGGACGTGAACTTACAGGTGTTTTGCAGGAGCTTCTCGAGGGAGTCGCGCCACTGCAAAGCTTCCTCTGGCGACGGCCTGAGGGGACGAGAGGACAAATAGGTAGGCTCCAAGCTCGCAGCACACCAGGATTCTATTTGTTTATTTTCTTAATAGACAGATGAGGTTTGGGAGGTAATGCCTGTGAATTCCCATGGGTGCGTGAGGAGGGGTTGTGAGAAGACACATGGCTCTCTCCTAAAAGCATCTCCTCTGTCACTAGCAGCAGGGGCATGGCCACACATCACCCTCCTGCCCCACATCTGCGCACATGTAGGGGGCAGGACACCTCCGGGCACCCTCTCCCGGGTTGTGCTGGGAGTCGCTGCACTGCCCTCGCCCAATCCTTGTGTTTTTGCTGGCATTTTGCAGCTGGGAAGCATCCCCAAGCCTCCCGCCACGGCCAGTGTCGCAATGATGGGACAAGCATCCACCTCCCCTGAGCCTGCAGCGGTCTCCAGAGCAGCCCGTCCCCACGGGGCCGCGGGCTCCCGGCTCAGCAGGGAAGGAGGACGGGAGGGTTGTGGTGGCGCGTCCCCGTGGGGCCATGGCTGGGGCCAGCTCCGCTCCACTCCCACGGCCTGGTCACCCCATCCCCGCGCGGGGAAGGACGCCGCTTCCATCCTCTCCGTGAGCACTTTCCAGGCAGCTGCACACCAGCCGAGCACGTTGTCTTGCCCAAGCCGGGGCTGCACTTCAGAGGCTGGAAACCATGAGCGGTGCCTCCTATGTAGAGCCAAAGAGCAGCTCTTCTCCATCACCCTTGCGGCACTTGAACCAGGAGCCTCCATTACCAGGTCAGAAAATGGAGCATATTCCGTATTTGTGGCGATTATCCTGTCTGCTTGGTCCAGTCTTCCTCTTCCCCAGGCACCCAGTCCAGGTGAGCACGAGGAAAACCACTTCACTGTAGCAGTTTGATACAATCCAAGAATCCTGCTTTCCTGGAAACTACATAGCTGAATGTCCCAGGGATCATATTAACCGAGTCCGAGATGCTCGCTGACGGATGATAGCTGGGCTGAGCAACAATAAAATTCTGGAGAAAACAACTCCTATAGCTAGCAGGCACAGAACATGCCTGTTGGTTTCAGCAGGGACAAATAATGGGGACAAATGTGTCTCCTTCACAGAGGCACCTTGGCCACGGCAGGGACAGAGCCAGACGCGCAGTCCCGCGGTCGCTCTCCTCCTGCCCTGCCTCGGGCAGCTCTTGCTGGGGATCCTGCAGCCGCTTTCTGCAGACCAGCAGCGGAGTGTGCGCAGGGGACATGGGGCACCTATGTTCACCTGAAAGCCCAGGCTTCTGGGTTATGTTAGTAATCTTATTTCGGAGAGTTATCGTTTTAGACTAACGGTGCCTGGAGAAACTCAGCAAGAGCACCCGAGAGAGAAAACCCAAACTGCACGTTCTTATCCTACGTCTGTAACACCCGCTGGCCTCCTGGCACGGAAGTCTCCTACCCCCACAACCCATGGAGTAACAGAGGGAAGGAGACGCCCCAAAGTGCAGCCCAGATGGGTCCAACAGCTGCCTGGAAGAGCATCCAAAGGTGCCTCATGTTCTCCAGGGCCATGGGCCAGATTCAGTGGCACCCCACACCAGGAGGTTGGTGTAGCATTGGCTATCTTGAGAACATCCTAACCCCTTTCTGCACAGGGGCACTTCAAGGAATGGGAACAACTCCGGGGCACAGATGTCCCCTGTGAGAGCCCCTGTCTGCATCTGTGGGGCTGCAGGGATGCGAGACACTACAGGAGATCTCAGTATCGTGTCTTGGGTGTGCTGGTAGCTCTGGGGACGCTAGCTGCCCACGCTTGCTGCTAGGCGGAAAAAATCTTCAGCTACCATCCTGTCTCTAGGAAGGAATTCTGCTTTTAGACTGAAGCTAAAGTTTGATTTAAGGGTTTATTTATGTGTCTCAATTCCTTGAACTTTTAACCCTACAGACCAACTGTTCCTCTGCTTTGCTCTTCTCTTAAGTCAGCCTCGTGCTGGACAGCAGAGGATTGGGATGAAAAACTCAAGGCAAGAGTACAGTGTCTTTGTGGAGCTGCTTTGAAGAAATCAGTCCATGGAGTTGTGTCCCAGGTCAGAGACATGTGCTGCTGACCTGAAGCCACCACACCGCCCCTGCATGGGGAGGCTGAACAAAACTGATGGTGGCAACATCACGCTGACCCGAGGCAAGTGACTCAGAGACATCTAAGTGCCTTGCACCTCTGGACTAGCTTTTATCAAATGAATGTGAAATCTCATCAAATGTAAATTGAGTTTCCCCGAGAAATCTGGTTTCTGAAAGACTATGTTGCCTGGCATCACTCATGCCGCTGTGACGCAGTTCTGAGCCTGCGCATGCAGGCCGTGAGGAACGAGCCTGAAGCTGCCTTTAGGTGAGAAGCTGCTGTGCCTGCCTGGCCAGCTGCAGCTGGAGTCTAGTTCCCCCTTTCCCCAAAAGGGCTCAAGGCTGCACCACCTGCGTGCCAGAGGATTGCTGGAGTCACAGGGATGCTCCGTGCAAAAGCACTCACTGGCTGCATGACCAGATGTGAAACATTTGTATATCCCACTCTGCCACAGGGACTGAAGGCCCGTGCCTTGGACTCCAGTGCTCCCTACAGCACTCAGGGGCAATGATTTGAGTGTCCTGGACAGTCAGGGTGGAGGAGTGATGGTGTGAGCTGAGCTGAGCAATGCCGCAGGACGGGACTGGTGCAGCACAACCGACTCCAGCTCTGCTGGCTCTAGTGTCCTCTGTCTCGCTAGCCTGGTGGCATCAGCCATGTCACACACAAGTACTCACTTGTGGGCTTTGGGCGGCTTCTCTGGCTTCTCCGGGTAGGGGATGATGATGTCAATGGCCGAGTCAGGCTTCTGCAGCAGTGTTCCCAATTTGGTTTTGATCTCCTTGGCCCTGCGGAGGGAAGGAAAAGAACTGGTCAAGTAGGGAGGACACCGACCCCTCTGTCCCCGAGCTCCTTGCTGCCCCCAGGGTGAGATCTCCTTGCAGCCTCCACCGCCCCGACCAGCGGGGGCAGAGGGGCCACCAGCAGGTTCCTTCACGTGGTTAACAGCATTTGCAGAGCGGTGCCCTTGGCACTCCTTGCTTTTCGGCTCGCAGCTGTTTGTTTTTGCATGCCCTCCTTTGCTATGTCTGCTATTTTGTTTCCATTCCTTTTTCTCTTCCCCTCCCATCCCATAAAACTGCCTCTGTGGTTTGGTTCCCCCCCTTGCTGAGGATTTCACGGCCCTGGGGCCGGCTCCTGCCTAGTGCTGGTGCCCACGCCGGGGGGGTGTGCGAGCGGGCCTGGCTCTGCGTAGCCCGAGGGGTGCTCGGCCGGGGTGGCCCTGGGGGATCTCGGGCTGCTCACAGTGGGGCAGAGCAGGGGCTGGCATGCCCGGCACGCGCCCCCAAAGCGCCCGCGTGTCCCCTGCTCGCGGCGAGGCTGCTGCGCTCGCCCCCCAAACCCCCGGCCCGCGGCGGCCCCGCTGCGCTGGCCCCAAAGCGCCTGCATGGCCCCTGCTCGCGGCGAGGCCGCTGCAGTCGCTGGCGCCGGGTGCGCGGCACCTGGGCCCCCTCTGCTCCCCGCCTCCCCCCCTCCCTGCAGCTTTTGCAGGAAATCCCAGTGTCTCTGAGGGCGTCCCCTCTGTTTATGGCTTTCCAGGAGGGAAAGGGCAGCCTCCGTTTGCTCGCTGTTTTCCTCAGTAAATGTCAGCGGTTTTAGGGACGATTTCCGTTGCTTGCGCTTCCAAGAAAACTCGCATCTGGCCTGGAGAGACCAGGCTCTTTGGTGAAGGGTGATGAGGTCCCCATGCTCCTTTTGCGCAAGAGATTCCCCAGTGTGAGATGCCACTGTGCCCCAGAGGTCCCCATCCCTCCGAGGACACCGAGAGCCCTATCAGGGGGAGCATCGTGAGGCCACCTCCACCCCAGGCATCCAGCACCCCAAAAAATCCTTGGCCATGGTGCCCTAGTGAAAAAGGGGGATGCTGCACAGGAGCCTTGTTAAAAGGAGAAGCAAAAGGGCAGCCGCGAGGGCTCCTTAAGGACACCATCCTGGAGCCCTCAAGCAGATGCATTAGCGGCTTCCAGGCAAGGCTTCAGGAAAGGCAGCTATAAATAAAAAGGTCTCCTTCAAAAAACAACCCCGAAACTATGTCCGAGTGAGAAAAAATGGAAAGGACCATAAACTGTGGAAGGTTAAGTGTAAAAACATAAGTAAGCAAGCCAAGAAAAAGTCTGAGAAACAATTTCCAAAAGGCATTAAAAGAAAATATGGACTCTTTCAAACACATCAAGAGCAGGAAGACTGCCAGGGGAGGGCTGGGAGGGGAGCAAGCTTAACAGCAAAACAACAAAGGGAGCTCAAAGAAGTTAAAGCTATAGCTAAAAAAATATCTCTCTCTTTATTTGCTTCTCGTTTGCTTTCCCCCAGAAAATTCTCGGGGAATATGCTCCCAGAGGGATTAAAAAAAAAAAAAAAAAAGGGAGTAGCCAAAAGAGTGGCTAAAATTCGCCCCAACCACGTGTGGGTCACCAGGCAGACCCAGGGCTGGAGGAGGGAGGCGCTGACAGGTAGTGCCGCTCCTAACGCTGCTGCCGCATCTGAGCTCAGGGAGGTGCCCAATGTGACGCCGCTCAGGGACAGAGATTGCACGGGAGACTCGAGGAGCTACAGAGCCGTAAGGCTGATGCCCGTACGGACAAATGGGTTGCAACTGTAATAGACAGCCTTGGAGGACACATGCACAAATATGGTATATTGGAGAAGAGTCAACAGAGCTTTGGCAGCGGGAAGAGATTCCTCACAAACCTATGGGCCCTCTCTGAAGAGGCCACCGAGCATGTGCCGTGGAGAGATGTGGGAGATACCAGCCCTTGGGTTGCCAGAGGAGCTTGGGCAAGATCCTTGCCAAGCAAGAGCCTGCGATGCTGCAGGAGCACAGGGTGTCTCGTGGGTGACAAGGTGGGAAACAGCAAGGTAAAAGCAATTAAAAAGAGTAGGCATAAAAGATGTGTTTTCCTATGTGAGTAGGATTCCTACAGGAATATGGGCTGGGACCACGTTGTTTAATGTCTCTTAGGCATGGGGTAAGGGGCTACAGCAGGCAGCAGGGCTACAGGCAGCAGGGGCTACATTATCCATGCTATATGCTCAAGGACTCATGTGACTGATGGCTGGTGAAATCTCCCATAGGTCCATATAAAATGATGTCCTAAATTAAGGTACATTTCAAGAGTGAGAACATGGGGACACAAGAGAGGTCCTTGAAAATGTCAGTGCTGTAGCACTGAAAGAAGCAAATCCAGCGTGAGAAAGTAGGAAAAAAGATGAGAGAAAGCAAGGAGGAACATTATATCCTCAGACAAATCTGTGGTTCACCCACATCTTGAAGACTGCTGCTGTAAAGCCTTCAGCTGAAAAGTCCATAAGAGAGCAGCAAAAGGTTCAGAAATGAGCCACAAGGATGAGAGAAGACCTGGAAGAGCTTGTGCTTGAGGAACAGCTAAGTATCTAGGACTCTCTGCTGTGAGAAAGAGATATGCAAGAGGGCTATAGCAATGGATTAAAAAATCATGAGAGCAGTGGGATTGCAAACAGGGTACACTCTGCAGTTCACCAGAGAGCTTCCAACCCATGAATCCATGAACCAATCCATGAAACAGGACTAGCCAGCAACATATTTAAACCAAAGAAAACCAGCACTTTTACCTTAAAAACAGCAACAACAGAACCAATAAAGACTGTATCTTTCTAATGCTGTGATCAACAGGGCAGCCGCGAGGCCTCCAGCCTGGGACGCTTTCGCAGGGCTTCCCACACCGATGGGCCTGCGTGTTTCCCCCTGCCTCCCCAAGGATAAGGCTGCAAGAGACAGTGGGACCCCAAAAGGGATGTGGAGCCACCCACCTGCCCTTGCAACCCCAAGCAGCCATTCCAGCCCTCCTGCCACCAAAGCCCCCGGCCGCCTCACCAGCACAGAGGGACCCTCAGCCAGAGAGACAGGAGAGCACCGAGCTCAGTGCCTGCAGCCACCCTGGGTGCTGGCGTTGGACTTGCCACCCTGCGAATACCCTCCGCTTCCGACCACGACCCCCAAGGCCCCCAGCGCCGGCGCTCACCTCTCCAGGCAGGTGTGGGGCAGCGCAGCTAGGCCCTTGCACATCTTGGCACACGGTGATTCCTCCGGCTCTGAGAAAAGCACGAGAGCTGTCAGACACAGGCGTCTCCAGCTCTGCCTCCAGCCCAGCTCCCCCTTCTCCCACATATATAGCGGCCGGGAGCTGGAGCTCAGCCAGCGCCGGGAGCAGTGCCGGCCCACAGCAGCTGGTCCCGGAGAAGGCAGCTTCTGGCTTTTGTTTTGTCCTCCTCAAACGCACACGGCGGGGAAAATGCTTGTTTTTAATTCCTGGGATGAGATCAGGTACTCAAAATGCAGTGGTCGAGCCACAGCTTGGGAAGTGCCAGGGAGCCCGTGCGCTTTCCTCTCTCTGCCACAGTAGGCTCCAAAGCAGCACTTAGGAGGGTCAGGTAGAAATGTCTATTCCTGGGGGGTTCTGACAGAAAAAATGTCATTTTCTTCAAAATCCAAGTGCTTAGGTGAAGGTTGTTGCTTTGATTTTAGAGCTGGGGGACCCATCCTTAGCCATCCCTTGTGGCGACACCCACCAGGCCACAGCCCCTGGCTCTCATTGTTTTAGCCCATCGTCCCCAGGGCAAAACCTACTCCCAGAGCAGGGATCACCTCCAGGTGAGCAGGGAAGGAGCATCTGGGGTCTGTGTAAAACTTACTCTGGGGTGTTTTAAGGGGATTGTGGGGACGCGCAAAACTTGATATGCCACAGACCCATGGGGGCATCCTCATAGCACATGGATGGACATGCACCTCACAAGTCCTGAGGCAAGTCTGTTAGCTTGCCAAGACTGGGCTGGCTGCAGGCTGTGAACCTGCTTCAGCCCTTGCCCAGGGCTGTGCATTAGCTGAGCGTGCCCGAGAGCTCCCCTGATACCCAGCATCTTGCTTAGGCGGGAAAGGGCAGCGCGGGAGGCGCAGGAGCAATGCTGCTGATAGCCAGGAGCAGGGCCGTGCCTGCAGGGCAGCGCGTGTGCCCAGCAAGCTACGCTGCTGGAAATGATTAGCTCAGTTTCACGCTTTGCAGGCAGGGAGTAGATCAGGCTCTGACCCCCCTAATGAGCAAGGGATCATCTCTAGCCCTAGGGAATGCCAGACCCAGGCTGTCCTGCCTTGGTGAGACTCATCGCTGACACTGGGTCACCAGCCACCAAACAGTTCCAGAGATCCAACAGCTGAAGCCCAGCAGTTCCTAGCAGTGTGATTGAATTAGGGAGGGTAAAATGAGTTATTCTGCACACTTTCTTCCTGGCTCCCAGCCTGCTGTGACAGCCTGTCCTCTGCAGCAGGGATAGTCGCAGTGCCAGGCACACTATGAGTCCTCCTATGGATCAGACCATGTCCCACTAGAGCTTCCTGAGGGCCTCACCACCATCCCTGCACACTGCCGTGGGCACATGCAGCTGTAATGCACTTTGGTAGGTCACCACATTTCCTCATGCAGGGTGGCAGGAGCAGGTAAAGGGCCTCCAAGGGGACCCAAGTGTCCTGGCAAGCAGTATTACAGAGAGAGTGAGGTCTCTGCTTGTTTCAAATGACACGTTATTTGTATGTGCTTGGCAGAGAAGGACCAGGAACGGCATCTCTTGGGGTTGACCCTATAACTGTATCTAGCTGGGGAGAGCGATGGAACAGGGGTCAGAGGCTGCCATACAATGCTAGGATCTTGCTCTCCAGAAGTGACCTGCTTTCTTTATGCCACCAGTTCACAGGCCCCTGAAGAACAGGCCATGAACACTAACACCTCTAATGCGAGCCTTGAGCTGCTTGTGCAAAGCTGGGCAGTCACTGCTGCACCACAGCCGTTCAGGCAGTGGGGCCCCAGGAGAGAGGTGAACGTTTCTGAGTGGAGCAGGCTCATCTGGGACACAGCTTATTGCTGCGTCTGCAAGAGCTAGCACAAAGCAAAGCCTTTGAGACTGTCCTTCCGCCTTGCACTGCAGATCTGCTCCCATGGCACGGCAGGGCTTGCTGCCTTTTCTAACATCCCCGAGGCAGAAGCAGAACTAACAGCAAAAGACCTCCCATCCAGCCTGGTCGCCTGGACCCAAAGGCACTAGCAGACATTAATTACACCCAACCAGCCCCACCTGGGACCCACACCCTGTCTGTAGGCCTGGGGGCTCCATTTAAGCTCAGGTTTGAGGCCTTGCTTCTCTCTCGAGCTGCATTGTAGATGTGTCTCCCTGGCTCCTGGGTGGACTGTGGACCCTCACTCCAGCTCCAGCACTGTCCTGGCTGTTCCCCGTGGGGCTCCCTGAGACACCCCTCACTATGCCCCAGGCTGCTGATGGGCCACACGCTGCTGATTTCAGTGTGTGACTGCAGTAAGTGAGGAGCAGAAATCTTTTAGGACGTGGAAGCAGCTCTCTGTGCCCCTCTGAAGAGGATCCCACATGGAGGGGGACGCGGCTGGCGCAGTGGCAGTGTGGAGCAGATGGGAGGTGCTGGCTGTTCTCACAGCTCCCTGGATGGGAAAGGCAGCAGCCGTGAGAGCCGCATGGGAAACCCCAGTGGCCTTGTGCCTTGCTGAAGAGCCACGGAGAAGATAGTTATGTTTTTTCGTCATTAATCTTCAATAATAAAGTCAGTGTTGGAATCCCAGGGGAGCCCCGCTCTGTGGGATCAGGCGGGCTGTATGAAAGCTGTCCAGCAGACACCGAGCAACCTGGCGTGTTCTTTGTTCCAGCTGTAGCCCGTACCCAAAGCCAAGCACCCTGGAAAGTGGAGAGCTTCGCCACGGCACCACAGGCCCAAGCCTTGCGCTGGGAGCACGTCGCCAGCTCTGCAGGCCCCCTCTTGCTTCAGGACGCCTGGATCTCTGCCTTGCGTGATCTCATGGGTGAATTATGAGCGTTCCTTGGAGTATGAGCCCCAAAACCTAGTTGACTCCATCTCTTCTACTTCATCTTTCAGATCTGATAGGAAATTCTCTGGACTTGTGCTTCTGCTATGATTAAACGCTCTGTAGACTCTTGCGTAGCCCTAGACTGGGGGTTCTAATAAGCAAACAATCTGGATTGTGTTGCAACACATGAAGCATAGGTCCAAAATAAGAGCTCAATAACAAGCTTATGAGGAGCCTGTACTATGGGCTGGCAGTGGCCCCTTGGTTATGCACAGAATTCTGCAAGCTTTGTGCAAGGCAGCCAAGCTGGGCCGTGTGCCTCCACCTGACCATGTTCATAAAAGTGGACAGCAACAGCTCCATGTCCTGAAGTGCCATCACAGGACAAGGGTCTGGTGGTCCCTGAAGAGAAATGGCTGGAAAGTTGCTCCATGGTGCCCTTTCCAGCACCCAGATTGCACCCTGGCATCTCAGCTGGCCCAAATCTTTCATATTGGAGCCATGGTGGAGAGGAGCCTCTGTCGTGGAGGATCCTCTTTGGTAGCCATCACCAGGGCATTGTGAGCCACATCTAATGTGAGTAAAACGGGCTGGGGATGGATCTGGCTGGCCTGGGCTGTCTGTCACCCCCCTGGCTTTCCCCAGCCTCTCTTGGCACTGGTGTCCATCCAGTGCCAACCCTTGAGCCTTTCTGGGGGCCACCCAGGGCATGCCAACCATAGTGGGACCATGTCTGCATCTGCCTCTGCTTAGTTTCTGGTTCACATCTAGTCCTTTCAGTCTCTGTGCTCTTATTATATAAAGAAGTGTAATGGTGTCTTTGAGAAAGGGCGTATTTGAAACATGAAGTAAAAAGCAGTCTTGCACCACTGAACAGAAACAAGAGTTGCCTAGAAATAGCTTGCATTTTCCACAGACATCTGTCTAGTAATAAATGTTTGTTTTGTATGTTTGAAGGCTTTGGAGTGCTAAGAAAATATTTCCAATGTGAAGACCTTTCTTTTCTTCCCACGACAGCTTAATTTCTTTAAGAGCCCTTTTGGGAGGGCTTTTTGGAAATCCAAGTGCACTCTGCGGACCAGATTGTCTTATGTACACAGCGGCCGTTTCCTCAAAGAGCAATATAGGTTGGAGGCTGGTGGTTCCCCCTCTAAGGCCACGTGAATCTCCCATTACACAATATTTATCCCTCCCTCTCTTACACCATATTTATCCCTTGTTATTTCAAGCCTTTATTAGTGGGTCTAGCAAGTTGCCTTTAATAGACCTCAGGCTTACTGATTTGCTTTTTCCTGGTTCCCACTGGAACTTTTTAAAAATTAGCATCTTATTAATAACAACCTTATTAATAATTGTCTTTGGTAGGAGGATCTGTGCAACACTTGCTCACGTGAATATTTGGTAGTTTATCCAAGAGTTGCTTCTGGTGCAGGCAGCTGTTTTTTTTCTTTTTTTTTCCTATATATTCTAAAAAATGCAGTTAAAATCTTTTCTCCTGGTGCTTTGTGACAGCCCTGCAAACATGTGCCCTCTAAGGAATGATGCTAGTGTGAGCCCTTGACAGCAAAGGCTGGTACAAATAATTCATTTAGCTTTTCTGCAATGGCTCTTTCATACTCGCATAATCTGATCATGCCCCGTCCCATGTGGCTCTCTGGAAAGCTTTCTGCTTCTCACGTAGTCATGATTAATTTTTTATGCCTTCAGGATGCTTTCCTCCAATCTTTTGCGGCCTGCCTTGTACGTGTGACTTTCCAGAGCGTGCGCTCTCTTTTTGTTCTCTGTCTGTATACAATTCCCACTTCTTTTAAAATCTTGTCATTTCAAGTGTTTCTTTCCACTCTCCTGTTTAAGTCACCTTTTTTTCAGACACGCATTTACGCCTATGTAATCTAATACTGTATGTTTAAACAGCCTTCCTGTTCCATACAAGCTTGAATACCCTTCAGTGCCTTCATTTGACTATCCTTCCGCTCATTTCTCTTTTGTAATTAAATATTATTCTAAGGTGCTACTTTTGTTCTCGCTAGGACAGCCTGATGAGTGGTTACTGCTCAGTGGCCCTTCATCGGTTGCCCTGTGAGCTAAGCCCTGTGCACAGCTCAAGGGTCGCTCTGGTACGTGGCTGTCCTTGAACCATCTCCCTTTGCCCTCCATGCTCAGTTATCCCACCACACACCCTTCCTCGCACGGAGCCGGAGAGCTGGAGGTACCAGCTGGGTGTCTAAAGAGCCTGTGTAGGATCCAAGGAGACCAGGGATCTGGGCTCCCCTCAGCTCTCCGCTTCCAAGTCACTGACACTGGAGCCACGGGCAAGGTCAAAGAGGAGAAAACCCTGGAAAGCAGAATGACCCGGAGCACTGGGACTTGGGCCAGCTGGGAATTCGGTAGTCACGTAAGAGCCCCGGCCCCGCTGCGGCTCAGTTGTGCAGCCGCCAAGTTCCTTGACCCCGCGCAGAAGGCCTGAGAACGGCCGCGGCAGCCGGGTAGCGGCAGGGATGCAGCGCTGCTCTTGGCTCCGGCCCTGTGAGAGGCAGGGGAAGGGCCCTGGGCAGCCCCAGGCCTGGGGCTGGTTCACTCCAGAGCTCTCAGGCTTTGCCATGGAGGGGACACTCCGCTGGATGCTCTTAAAGTAGGTGCTGAACATACCAGTCACCACGTAGTTCAAAGGGACAGCGGCCTGGCATCTCCCAGAGGATCCTGCCAGCAAGAAGCCCAGACCTGCATGACTCTAGGGGACACATCTTGTGAACATATCGCAAGAGCTTCCTCATCAGCTTTGTCTTTCCTCAACAAAGTGAAACAGGGCCTTTAGCGACGAGCAAAGTAGGTGAGACAAGCCCAGCCCGAAGCCATGTGCACGGCTGATGTCATCTCTTGGGCACAGCGAGTGTCCTTGGTAACAGAGCTGATCTCTGCTCCCTGAGCAGAGGCTGTAGGGCAAGGCTTTTACAGAAGATTTCAAGCCAGCACCACTGTTCATGCAGGGTTTAGACTACAGGGAAATAACAGCTCCTGAAGAAACAGCTCTGATGTCATCAGCAGTGTTCCTAAGCAGAACAGTGAGCTCAGATATGCTCGAATACGCCTGCCGTGTGTCTGCAGGGACCTACTGCCACCAGGGCCCCAGGCATGTACAATAGCTGCCTCTGTTTCCAAGAGCTCCATCAACCAAACTGTACTGGTGCCTCCACGGGCATTGCAGGGTGCTGTTCTCTGACTCTGTTCTCCTGCATCGTTCCATGGTATGGACACAAACTCCAGCTACGTGTCCTTGTCCAGGCCACAAAGTAACACAAGACACAGTCTGTGAACAGATTCAATGGGGTCAGCAGTGTGCAGGCAACAGATAATTGCAGTACAAAATTGACACCAAGAGACCAGTCGCGGGATTTTATTTGACCACCAAATTGAAGAAATCGCTCTGATTACACCCAGTTTGTACCTAGATTCACATGCCAGATCCAGGAAGCACATAACACAAACACAAATTTTCCTCACCCACCAGCCAGCACCCACACTTCTAGATCACTCAAGAGAATTAGATGCCATGCAAAGAAACACCTCTACTGTCACAACGGCCATGCAGCACCAACGCCTGCATCCACGCTTGGTCCAGAAGAGCACCTGCAAGGTGAGTCATGCTCTCCTGCCCTCCCCTTTTACTCTCTGCCCTGCTGTGGCTCTGCCTTTCCCAGCTCATGGATGGCCTTGTTCTCCAGCACCTCCACCTTCCCCCTGCCCGGCTTCAGCACGCAGGCCACCATGGCCCTTGCCACCGTCTCCACTGGCACCGAGTAAGCGGTGGGGAACACACACGCCACAAGGCCAAAGAACTGCTGGGCAATCCACTCGGCAGGCCGGGATTCCTGGCGTGCGCACAGCAGCAACCTGCGGAGCGGGGAGGTAAGGCACGTCAGGCTGAAAGAGCCATCCTAAGAACAACTAGCACCCGAGATCCCCAGCTGCATTGGGAAGCCCGGGATTGCTTGCTGAAACTGTGTGGGGCCCAACATGGGGATCTGCAGGGTCCTGGAGCATGTCCAGGCTGAGCCTGGGATGCTGGTGGAGAGGAGGCAGGAGAGAGTCCCCACAGTAGAAGGTCAAGCTCTGTGCAGAGCTAAGGGAGGACTTTTGTCCCCCAAACTCTTCTTCCAGTTTCGATCTCTCCTAGTGTGACACATGTGACCTTACCTTTGAGAAGGTCCTGGAGAAGCTGCTGTGTTTGCTCCCTGCCGCAGCAGGTAAGGGGTGCACTGAGCTGGGAGACGGGTTGACGTGTGGCTGCTTTCTCCTTTCCCCTCCCCAGACACGGCCTTACGTATCCTGGCCCTAGCCCTTTCTCCATCTCCCCAGCCCTCTGTCCTCGCAACCCTCTACCTGCATCCTGTGCCCTCCCTCTTGCAGTGCTACTCACGCCGGCCGGAGAACGGTACAGCGATCAAAACCAACAGCCTGGACCAGGTTCTCCACTTCTCCCTGTCCAAGCGATCAGGCAGGATGAAACAAGACAAGGATGACTACGAGCACCATGCCTGCTGCCCCATGAGCTGTGGGGAGAGGAATGGCTGTGCTGTGGGCAGCGTGGCATGAGGCAACTGCCTGGAACCACATCCGAGCCCCGGAGAGCCCCGCGTGATCTGAAGCAATGTGCACAGCACAGCGCAGGGCTCTGACTCCGCTTTGCTAAAGCTGCTCCTAAGCTCCATGGCTTTAGCTCATGGACTGCTCAAGATGGAAAAGGCAAAAACAAAGAGCTAAGGGGAATTGTGGAGTTGGTGGTGGTAACCTGAGAGAAAACGCTGGCATAAAAAGGAAAAAAAAGAACGAGGAGAGCATCTCAGTAAGGTAGGTAGCCAAGGATCAGCGGTGGCTCATGCTTCCCCAGGTGACTGTCATCTGCCTGCTCAGAGACTCATGGGGTGTCTCCTGAGGACCCATTAGCGCTTCGGTGCTCAACCTCATAGTGCCTGAAGCCCTGCCACCTCCCACGTGTCATCGCTAGCAGATAATTGCTATATACTTATAAAGCGCATGCAATCCTGCTTGCAAAACATGCCCAGGCAACAACCTGGGAGAGGGCGCTGGAGAAAACGCACAGGGTAAACAAAGAGTGGGGAGAACAGAAATGCATAGGGAGCCGTCACTCAAGTCCAAGGCCCCTCACCCCAGGGAAACGGAGCCTCAGGGAGGTGAGGAAAGGAAGAGCTGCAGCTGGTCCTGGCCAGTCTGACACATCTGGCCAAGAGGCCACTTGTTAAACTGGAGGGCTGGGCTGCTGTCTGGAGGGATCTCAACAGGGCGCATGTGCCAGCAGGAGCCCTCTACCCCGCAGGAAAGCTAAACGCAAAGGCTGCCCTGGTGCGGGGTGCGCACCGCTGGACAGAGCGCAGCCTCCAGGAAGAGGAAGGGTCACAGGGCTGGTCCTTGCAGGCACCTTGATTGCAAGTCTGCAGCGCACCCTTGCAACCATGCTGCTAACTGCAGCCTTGGGTGGGTTAGCAGGAGTGCAGCCAGCAGGGCAAGGGACACTCGCCAGGCTGGGCTCTGGGTCCAGACTGCCAGGGTGTCCTGGGAATGCAGCAGCAGGGTCTGGACTGGAGACCCCGAGCGTCTCTTCCACCTAGAGCTTTCCGGAGGCTCTAAGAGACAGAGGGATGCCTGTGGGCAGGTGTTTTGCTCCTCAGGATAAGGCAGGTCCTGCCAGCCTCGTTCCCCGGTGTTTTGCTCCCCTGGTCTCAGAGGAGCACAGAGCCTTTTGACTCTTTTTCAGCCTCAGCTCTTGCTTCATTCCCAAGTGTCTTGGCGCTTCCAGACCCCCATTGCTTCCCACCTCACCTTCACACGGAGGTAGAGGAACCCGCTGTGCTCGTTCGCGCCGCGGGAGGACTGCAGGATGAAGTGCTTGCAGCCTCCAGCCCGCGCCAGCTCTGCTGCCTGGGCGACGTAGTCCCGGTCCACACGGATGAAGCCAGCCTGCAGGTAGAGCGGGACAACGGGCTCAGCGCAGCTGGGGGTGTCCACCCCAGTGCTAGTCCAGGACTGCCCCTCGGTGCTGATTGCACGTTCCCGTAGCTTTCCTGGGGCAGCAAACCTCACAAGACCCAGCGTGCAAACAGTCTCCTCGAGTAGCACCCCCCAAGGGCAGGGGGGCACAGTGGGCTCCCAGGGAGCTCCTTGTGCAGCGCCCACTCACCGCGCCAGCCTTGGCCCGCGTGGTGCCCAGGCAACAGAAGCCGACGTCGTAGCCCTGGAAGGCGGCAGCGTGTTCATTCAGCCGCTCAAAGTCCACCACCACCTCCTCCTGCGGGGGTGTCATCCATTAGCACGTGTGGCCAGGGCTCCCAAGGCTGAGAGGGTCTGGCCTTGCCCTGCTCTGTCCCGGTGTGTGGGTACCCTGGACTCCACACGTCCAGATCCCCCTCTGATCCCACCCCACCCCTCCTAATCCCACCCTGATCCCACATTGCCCTCGTGCTCTCAGGCACCCCCCACCTCAGTTTCATCCCCAGGACTGCACCCCCTGATCCCGCACCACCCAGTGTCCTCCAGGAATCACTCTGCGGCCCATAGGGCTCCCTGCATCCTGTACAGCCCCCATGTCGTCCAGGATCCACCTGATTCCACATTACCCCAGGACTCCCTGCATTTCCCCCCCCCTGCAAAGTCCCTGCACCCTCCTGCACCCCTGATCCCTCACTATCCCTATGGCCTGTGCACCCCCAGGGCACCCCTGAGTTCAGCTTCCGCCGCCCGATCGCCGTGACCCTGGCGAAGAGCAGCTGGGCCAGCAGCTCCCGCAGCAACACCCGGCCCGTCTCGCCCGTGGCGCCCAGCACGAAGCAGGAGCCCGCGGGCCCCGCGCTGCCCGTGGCCGCCGCCATGCTCAGTCAGCCCCACTGCGCCGTGGCGCCCTCTCTCCCGCCTGGCGGCGACGCGTGGGTGACGCACGGACCGGGAGGCTGGAAACTCGGCGCTTCCGAGACGCCGGGCTGCGGCGCCTCCAGGACACGGAGCGGGGCTGTCCCCAGGCCGCATTCCCAGCAGGGCGAGGGAGGGATCCTGCCCCTCTGCTGGGCGCCAGGGAGACCCAGCAGGATCCCCCCCACAAGGGAGACATGGACATCCTGGCGTGAGTCCAGCGAAGGGCCGTGCCCTTAGTGAGAGGTGGGAGCACCTCCCCAGTGAGACTTCTCAGGGGTATCCGGTGACAGGCAGATGTGTGGACACAAGTTGAAATGCAGGAAATTCTACTTAAACCTAAGAAAAAAAATGCTGCAAATAGGACCAATGCAGGAATGGGTTTACTAGGAAGGTAGGGATATACCCTTCCTTGGAGATGCCCAAATTTGACTGGTCCTGGTGCCAGCTTAACTGTTCTAGGTGGCCCTGCTGGAGCAGGGGGTTGGACTGGGTAAGCTCCAGAGGTTTCCCCAAGCTCCTCAGTGCTGCCAGCACCTGTGGATACTCAGACAGGTTCCCCTTCCTTTTCTTCCCTCTTGTCCCTCTGCTCAGCATGTGGGATGAGCAGGTTGGAGGGACGTAAGCCCCACAGTGAAGCTCCTCATCATGAGGATGCTGAACAGGGGGACAAGGGCAGAGGAGGGACTGCGGTGGCTACCACTGTGCAGGATGTGAGTCAGCCGCACGGGCTCTGCCTCCAGCCTTGGCCATGGCTTCGGGGCTCTGACCTCAGCCGCCACAGCTGCTGGGCCGCACAAGCTGCCCTTACCCTCCCGAGCGCTGAGAGCCTCGCCGTGAGTCTGGCATCAAGCAGCCGCCAAGGAACATGCCACCCTGTGAGCACTGGTGCCCCACAGGGCTCGTGCCGCTCTGTGCTCAGGAGGCAGTCCCGTGCGCCAGCATCCCCGCTCATTTCTGCCCTGGCCTTGGGTCTGGAGAGTTGGCAAAGGCGCTCCGCGAAGCCGGGTGCTGGATCCAGTTTGCCTTGATTCCTGGGAAGGAGGTGGAGTGGCCCCGAGGCTGCCTCCACCAGGCAAGTTGCAGGCTGGCTCACGAGCCAAGC